CTGAATATTCCATATGACTTACTATTTTCTGTTATTATTAATTATTGTTATTATTTGTTGTTTTGGTTTATTTTCTTTGTTTTTATTTGTTATATAGTTTTTAGCATATTTTTTTTGTTTATTTTTTATTATATATTGTGATTTTTGTATTATCAAAACAGATCTGCATTATAGAGTCAAGATTAATTTTTCAAAATTCGCAAAGCATAAAAAAAAATATTAATGATTTTCATATTTCTTCTATTTCTTTGTTATTTTTGCTTTTCTTACTTGAGTCTTTTAAATAACTAAGTATTTTTGTAGTCTTTTTTTTTTAGAGCTTTGAGTTTGGTTTCTTAGTAGTCTTTGTGTGTTTTTTGTAGTTTTTTATTAATTTTTATTTTTATAAATTTATATTTTGATAATTAGCAGAAAGAGTCTTTTTTACAATATTAATCTATTGATAATCTATTATTTGTTTTTTTTTTATTTCAACGATCCTACTTTTATTTTTTATATCAGTAGTAAATTATTACAAGAATTCAGTTGGCTAAGCCTACTTTCTAATACTAAATTACTATATGTTTGTTTAAATAAAATTTTTTTCGGTCTGTCTCATTATTGCAATAAAATTTTAGCAAGCCAAATTCTACGCTAGAGTATGACCCAGAAATGACCCATCTAAGTAACAATTTTTTTTTTTTCAGAATTCTCAACTTTCTGAAAATATAACCTTTGAATCATCAGTAAATTTTTTAGAGTAATAAGTATCGATTATAATCTAAAGATATTAATTGATTAGTAATACTACCTTTGTAAGTAATCGATATAGATTAGAAATCGATAATAATCATATATATGATAAAATTGATATAAATATAAATCAATAGTTATTATTTATATGATAAATATTGATAAAAATTAATATAGATAGAAATCGATAGTTATCATTTGTGATAAAAATCAATCAGATAAAAATTAATAATTATTATTTATGATAAGAATCAATTTAGATAAAAATCGATAGTAATCATTTATCAGGAAATTTTTTAAGCTGATAGGTTATAATTACCAACAATTAATCAATTATGATCGATTAAATTTAATCGATAAAAACTGATAGTAGTGATTGTACTCGTCAGATATCCTTATCGATTTTAATTAATAATGTTACTAATCGTTAATTTACTATAAACGATTATTATCGATTAATTTTTTATCAATAATTATCGATAAAAAATTAATCGATAATAATCATTTATAGTAAATTAACGATTAGTAACATTATCAATTAAAATTGATAAGAATATCTGATAATTACAATCACCACCGTCAGTTCTTATCGATTAAATTTAATCGATCATAATTGATTAATTGTTAGTAATCATAACCTATCAGCTTAAAAAATTTCCTGATGATATCAACAGATAGCAATCATCAACCTTATCAGAATCACCACTCTACAATAGAATGCTGCCAATTTGATAACACTTTCTTATAGAGAAGTAAAAAAGAAAAAAAAAAAATAAGAGTAAAATAAAAATAGAGAAAGTAAAAAAAAAACTATATAAAAAAATGACCAAACTATAAAGAAATCTAAAAAACTATACTAAAATCTAAAAAAATTTATCTACAGATATAAAAACCTGCTAACTAGATAAAAACTATCTACATGGTTATAAAAATCTATATATAGAGCTATCTGACAGAAAAAACTATGAAACTAAGATATACTTTAACTTGTGTTATCGTGCAAGCTCATATGATCATAGCATTTTTTTGCCCTGATATTTTTATACATATAATATTACACAAGCCGATATTTTACAAATATGCAAATATTGAAGCAATACTCAATACAAATATTTAATTATTTTTTTTATTTATGCATTTTAAAAGCTAAGTACATTATTTATTACATATATTTATCACTTTTTTAATGACTATACTAGTAATTATTTTATTTATAGAGAACCAAAGTTAAAAGTGCAATTATGAAATACATTCCTGGTAAGAAATTTTTCAAGTAATTCCTTATTCATTTGTGATTGTTGATCCTCATTCTCTTTATTAATTTGACCTTCCATTTGTTTCGGGCCTTTGGGTTTGTTCTTTAAATTCTTATCACATTCCTTTTGCACATTTTGATCAAATTCAATTAATGCATCTTGTGAGGATTCGGAAAAGTCAGTTGTTGAACATTTTTCAATGATATCAAACGACAAATAATGACTTGCTAATATAAAATCATCATTTATTTTTATAAATTTTTCAGCTTGAACAGTTATTTCATTATCCTCATGAACTTGTGATTCGGATGGTAAGGAATTTGCAACAAGTGTCAATGCATTGAAAAATCTATTTAACCCTGTTGCTGCATTATTGATTTGGGACGTTCATACGATACCAAGCCTTGTAATGTTTTGTGCCGTGTGATAGATATAACAACTGAATCAGAATAACCCAATTCTTTTAATACTTGAACAGCGGTTTTGCGACCTGAGTAGTTTGATATATTTCTATCTCCAATCGTTATGTTTGCAGTTTCACAGATTTGGAGAAAATATTTTTTTAATATATGTTCTGGCAAAGCACGAGTATAATACCACTATATATTGAACTCAACTTTATAAAAAGATTTTTTTTTATTAATAAATTTTTATAGATTACATTGGTATTAATTATAACTAATAATTACAAAATCGAAGATTCAAAA